ATGTATTTGTTAATAATTTTCTGTAGAAAAGGGAGAAATTTGGATGCAGGGTCAGATCGGGGTTCTAGTTTTTGTAAATGATCAAAATATTGGAAATATGGTTTATGAAATGACTCTGCAAAACTTAGTGGTATTGGTCTGTTTATTAATTTAATTCGTGAATAATCAGGTGTTTGTATTTTTTTATACTTTTATTAATTCCTGATATATATTTTTTGGGTTTCATTATTCTATCGATTGAATTTGTTTTTAAAATACTTTTAAAATCAAAAGAAATCGTTTTATTTAAATTTTTGAGCTTGTTATAATTTTTTAAAATAAACAAACTATTTAAACTTTCATTGTAAAGTGTTTTATATTTAGAAGCAATTTTGCTATTTAAATTATTAAAATAATAATCTTTTACTATTTCATTATTTAAATTTTGATCATAAACTGTTTTATATTTTGTATTAGTTAAATTATTCGAATTTGTTAAACTTTCTTTTGTTATAAAAAATTTAGTTTCACAACAAAACACTAAATATAAAACTATAAAGATAAATTTAATAAATTTATAGGAACTAGCCATTATTTCTGTTTAGGATCATTTAAAACACTAATTGTATACATACGACATTATATATAATATATATATATATATATATATATATATATATATATACTTGTGTGTGTGTCTTTTATTGCATTCTATACTATTTATTTTTGTTAATTTAATAAAAAGAATAATTAATGAACCAAGATGATTCCATTGTGGAATAATAATAGCGAACCACATTTGACAAACGCACATTCAAAAAAAACAAGCATCGTTATGTTCTGTCTATTGTCGTTTTTGTGACAATAATAATTTAAAAAATCATTAAAATTAAGTAATAAATATTTACTAAATCGTAATGAATTGATAATTAAAAATTAATCAAATCTAATTGATTATAAAACCCTTCTAACCCGATCATTTTGAAGAGAATCTTTCCAAGTGCATTTTGCTGAAGGTTGTTTTATTCAACTACATAACAATAAAACAATAAACAAACGCAATGACATCTCTTCCTAAGGATGCCAAGGAAACAGAAGCTTTTTAAGTAATAATATATATTTTGAAAAATTCTTGGGTTCTGAGATAATAACATATTCAGAAAATTTAATAGGGTCTTTAGTAATAATGCAAACTTGTTTTCAAAGTTTGAATTAAATATATATAATATTTTGAAATGCACCAGACTATTTTTATTCATATTGAAGTCAACCATTTGTAAAATTATTACATAATTATTAAAAGCTTCCTGCTTAATTTTAATAAATTGTTAAATTAATTAATAGATTTTAGTTAAAATGATTAATAGATGGAGTATGTTGTCAACAGGATTCTAACATACGCAAATCTAGTTGCCAGATTATTTTGACTTATAGTTTTATTACTTAATAAGATCCAAAAACCAACCGTTTGTCTTGGCATCTTACGGAAGTGATGTCATTTTATTTATCGTTATGTAGTTGTATGAAACAACCTTTAGCAAAAGCCCTCTTTTGAATAAATTTTCTCCAAAATTAAGAATACCCCGGTTAAAATATCGTAGTTTTATATGTTGATGTGATCTGCCAGCATAGTTTTGAATTGTTTTGGATTTGTTTAAACACCTCTTTTGAAAAAATTTTCTTCAAAAAAAAGGATACCTAGGTTATAAAAGTCGTAGTTTAATAAGTTAATTTGATCTGCCAGAATAGTTTTAAATTGTTTTGGATTTTTGGAATTGTTTTTCTGTTGCTGGAGGCGTTTTATTAAATATTACCGAGGATCCGATTTGAATGATTCAAAAAATATTTTACTTGTGTTGACGGAATGAAGAATTGATTACATTTTTGGGAAGGCAGATTCAGCAATTTCGGACTTGTAGGCAAAATAGTTAAAAAACTGACATATTTTTTTCTGAAATTATCAATTCATATCATTCATACATAAAGAAATATTGATGCCCAGATGAGAGGCAGACAGGTAGACAGGTGAACTGGTAGACAGTTAGACAAGTAGACAAGTTGAAAAATAGGTTGACAGATAGACATCCAGAAAAGTAGACAAATAGGCAGGTTGACTAGTTGACAGGTAAATAGGTAGAAAAGTAATCAGGTAAACTGATGGACAATTAAGTAAACAAGTAGATAGACAGGTTAACAGATAAAAAATATAAAAATATACAGGTTGACAGATAGATAGGCAGAAAAGTAGACAAGTAGGCTGGTCAACTAGTAGACAGATAAATAATTAAAAAAACTAGTCTGGTAAACTGGTGGACAGTTAGATAAGTAAACAAGTAGATAGACATGTTGACAGATAGATAAGCAGAAAAGTAGACAAGTAAATAGGTAGCAAAGTAGTCACATAAACTGGTGGACGTTTAGACGAATAGACAAGTAGAAAAATTGACAGAGAGATAGACAGAAAAGTAGACAAGTAGGCAGGTTGACTAGTACGCAACTAAATAAGTAGAAAAGTAATCAGGTAAACTGGGGAACAGTTGGGCAACTAGACAAGTAAAAAATAGACAGGTTGACAGATAGATAAGCAGAAAAGTAGACAAGTAGTCAGGTAAACTGATGGACAGTTAGACAACTAGACAAGTAGAAAAATAGGGAGGTGACAGATAGACAGGCAGAAAAGTGGACAAGTTGGCTAGTAGACAGGTAAATAGATAGAAAAGTAGACATGTAAAAAAGTATGCAAGTTGAAACTTAGACAGATAGTTTCTTAGACAGGCAGACACTAGTACATACTGTTAGACAGACAGATGACATAAAATCAAATATTTCTGGATTAAAGTTATTATTTACACATATCTGGAAGTTGATGCAACTTGCAAGGCAAAATGCCACTTACACGTTGTTTCAGGTTTTAATTCTTCAGTTTGCCTAAATGAAAGTATCATTTGTTAATACAAAATACTTTATTAGCGTCAACTATTTATATATAATTATATACAAGAATTAAAAATATTAAAATTATCAACACAAGCATCGAAACATTTATATTATATATGTATACATACATATATTCATAAATATATATTACAAATGTCTCGTTACATTTGACTAACATAATAATAAGTATTATTTAAAAATATATTTATATAAATAAGTCCATTAATTTAAACTTAAGATCATAAAAAACATTGTTTCAAGTAAAACTTCACATAATATGATTCTTTTATTTTTCTTTCTATACATATATACACACAGTTTAGTTATTGAAATTTTCTTTGGACGTCAATGTGTAATTTATAAATTAACTATTCAACAATCATTTAGATTCTCATTTGTCAAAACTATGTTAAATTAATGAAAGTTTAAACTAATGTACTCATAAAAGTACATTGTAAATTGATAAATGAAAGCTGAGGTAATTTTATTATATATAGTAAAAATTCATAATAATTCAGGACTCCTACAGCAACTGGTAAAAAAATCTAGTAGATAATTTTAATGGCAATTTTTTAAATGTGACAGTAAAAGCTCTTTATTCATGCTTCATTGCTAAAAATGTCTTTATTTCCTGATCTAATAAACACACAGAATAAAAGGATCTCAAAGGTATCCAACCCAGTATTCCTTTGTAAAAGCAATCGAATTGACTACTATTTTCTAAATAAACCAAAAAATTTAAAATGATATAAAAAATGAAGGAATAAAATTATATTTTTGCATATTAATTGTAGTCTGATAATTAAATTATAATATCAATAAAGTTATTTAGAAATGAAATTAAGGGCCCAATTTCCGATAAAATGGACAGTAGTAACACAGCGTTGTTATGGCAATGCCATGTTATGCCTTTTCATTCATACAAAATAGTATTGAAACTGTCAAAATTCTAGTATTTGCTATTTGATCAGACGTTTATACATAAAACCTTACTTCAAGTATGTGTTATCAATGAAACATCACAAAGATGCACTTATGATTGTTATTTGACGTTTTGTAGGTTAGGTTTTATGTGTAAAACGCCTGATCACACAGCAAATAAATAGCTTTTGACAGTTTGTTAGTACCAACTAATACAAATATGGACCCGTAACGTAGCGTTACTAGAACATTTCTATTTTATCAGAAAATTGGCCCTTAAATATGAATCTTTATCTATAAGAGATTTTCTTAAATGTGATTTCTTTTAATTTGCAAATTCTTCTAACAACATAATTGTGGTTTCCAATCTGTAGAGCGCAAAGTTGTTTTCAAAATACTTTTTTTTGAAAATTGTTGAAATGACAAAAAAAAAAAAAAATTCAATTTATAATTTTTCAATTATATTTTACATAAATGTATATTAATTTCTACTGTATAATTAAATTATAAATATCAGTTCAGTGTTTATGAAATTAAAAAGTGAAAAAAATTAAGGCAGGCGCAAACAGTTTTTCCAAAGTGGGGGGCGGTTCAAGATGGTGGAAGCCACTGATATTTACAAAATATTATTTTAAAATGCAAATTGCTAATAGAAGAAAAATGTTAAAAATAAAAAAAGGAAGGGATTTAAATATATAAATAAATAAAAATGAAAAAAAAAGAAAATAATATGAAAAAATAAAATATAAACTTAAAAGAATATGAATATTGCATTTGTTTATATTGTAGATAAATGCATAAAAAATTCTGTGTTTTAAAATATATATATATATATATATATATATATATATAACATAGCAACTTGCCAATAGAGAATTTTCAAACAGTAATATGCAAGTGATATCAATTTATTAGATCTAAAAAAACAAAAAAACTGTATTTATAACTGTTTTTCCTTTTTAGTAATTCAATTTTGAATAAAAAGCTTTTACTGTACATAATTTATAAAAAATATCTCCAATTCACTCTCTACTCCTACTATATACTACACTGGGCTTATATTTGTATCCAAAATCCCCCAGCTCACACTTATCCTCAAAAACATGAAAACCAATAAACATATTTCATATAAAATATCTTAAACCTTTTCCTCCATGCATTTCCCTCTACTGATCGCTTTCCACAATCAACATAATTGACTGCTGCTGCTGGCCCCCCTGTTGCTGTGTTGTTGGATCATGTCCTTGTGATTCATGTGCCTGTTCCTGTTCATGTGGTTGTTGTTGCTGTTGTGCATGGACACCTCGAACAAATTCAACTTGGTGGGCCCCCCAGTCTTTTCTTTGGCAAAATGTGGAACAGTAAGGTGTCCTACGGCACAGGGAACACTCTGCCAGGGCGTCCCTGTTGCAATTTGCACACTGGAATAGAAGACATAGGGGTAATAAGAATTGGTAAAAATTGAGCTTTAAATTTTATACATACTTTTTTAACATTTGATTCTATATTTGGTTGTAAAGCTTCTCCTCCAACACGGACGTTTGAGTCATCTTCATGTGGTGGATGCCCCATTCGTGCCATTGCAATGTGGTCGTTTTCCCTCTGCAGCTTTCTAGATGTCTTGACATGATGTCTCTAACATCAGAGTAGTATCTTCGAAAATCATGGTACATCTTCATCATTTGTCCACTAATTTCTTTTAATTTCTGCATGTCATTTAAAATAGAAATAGATGTAAGTGGCAAATCAGATTTTCTGGCCAACATAACTTCTCTACTTCAATCCATTACCCCCCTACCATTTGTGTTCCTAAATTGCTTCCCATCAGGGGTGATCATCTGTAATCATTGGCTCCTCCAGAACTGTCAATTCCATCAGCCAGACTCTGCCAAGCTTCATCTTGTGGTGGGTAACCGTTACAACTGAATTGATCTGGTCTAATTCACTCTCATCAGCTGAACCATCTCTCCTGACTTTCAGTCTTAGTTCATTGTCTAAATCTTGGAGTTGTCTTCTTCTGCGCTTGTAGGGAGTGAAGAGACGAATGGACCAGTTGCTGGGGAAAGAAAGATGTATATATATAAATGTGGGTCAAACTTTTTTGGCCATTGGGACACATCACAACTTTGGGTGATTTAAGAAAACTTTTGTAAGAATTCATAGCTCATGATTTAATCAAACTTTGGTAGATTTTGGAATTGTAGGAAGC